AGATTAATGTAGCAGTTTCATTCAATGTAGTAACAACCTGCAAGGCAAACAACAAATTATTTTTGAAAGTAACTCAGCTAAGACACTTAGTAGAATACAAAAATAATTGAAGTATATGTCAGAGATTTTGGACTTTCTTGTAAGCATGTGAAACCAACAAAGAACACTGCCTTTTTCTTAATAAAACAAATAAATATATTGAATGCAACATTTCTAAAGTGCAAATTGTGTTGGAAGCTACCTGGCCAAAAAAACTGACCATGTCACTGAGGATGAATTAATGATTATTGGCAGATTCATCCAATTTCACTTGTTTGTAGGTTTCATCAAGGGTCTAAAACTTAAATTGATTCTTTGGGCACAAGGACACAAATACTCTCATTTTAAAAGATAAAGGATGTATTTTACTTAATTTACAAATAAACTTAACACTGAGCAGCTTTAGCGTGACAGATGGCAATTAGATTAGAGCAGTTCCAAGCAGCTGGCCAGGGTTTAACAACAATTATTGGGAATGAAGAATTGGAAGTACAGGTGAGTGTGTAGTTTCGGAAATAAACAGCTGCGGAAATGTTGTGATAATGGAGGGCCAAGAATTGATCAGATAGAATTTTAAAAGAGAATTGAGGGATAATTTTCCTTCCCCCAGGGAAAGGGGCACAGGAAATAAAATTCCTATTGTGGAATGTGGTAGGAAGTTGTTGTGGAGAATGTTACAAAGAAGGAATCAGAGATGGCCTCATCTGTGATTGATATTATGGGGTAGTGAAGTCTCATGAGATAGCAAGGTCAAGGAGGTGGCTGCGAATGACTTAGGGAGTTTACATGGAGGGAGAGATCAAGAGTGAGGGGCGGGCAGTGAACTCAGAAAAGCACGATAAGTTGAAATGGAGATTGAAATCAAAAATGAGAAGTTATTCGGTACAAAGGGAGGAGTGCAAAGATTCCTCAATGAGTATATTTTTATTGTACTCAAGTGAGTAGTAGAGAACAAATATGCTTGGGGACACAGGTTTGGTTAACAAATTACTGCAGCACTCTGAGCATTGCATGGTCAGAGATGGTGATTTTGGGGTAATGTATTAAACCTGACATGGGTATAAACCATTAAAAGGAGCTTACAGTTTCTCCAGATCAACCCTATCTCTGCTGGTGGAGGAAATAAAGAATTAAGCCATTTGTGATTGAAGCACCACTTCTTTAATTTTGCAGTTCAAGCCTGACAGAAAGGTCTACTTAACTGATCAGGATTGTACAGTAGCTTCTGATAAATTCAATATTTTGAGTGTTTTTTTCGCAATTAGCTTTGATGCCATTAAGAAACTTCACAGGGATTATTCAAATTTCTTTGTTGGTCAGCTCTATTGACAGTTAAGTAAATGGGTTAAATCATGAAAGAAGTATATGTTTATGACCTATAATATGAACTGATATACTGTACTGAATGGCATCTTTCATCAATTTATTGCTTCATTGTCCAAGTTTAAGGAGTGCTATAACCCATAGTCAAGTGCACCTTTTCAAATGCTAATAATCTGTGCAAGTCTGGACAATCTGATCAAGTATAAAACTTAAACCATGCTCGTTTGTTCAATGAATAACCAATTTTCCAGTTGGTTTACATTTCAGGCCGTTTTTAAAAAAAAGAAAACAGAGCAGAATGCCAGACATTAACGTGCAAAAAGCTATAACCACAAGCCGGCCAGAAGCAGACCGCAGAGGCTTAATGTAATCAATTCCGATTAGAGTTAGGCGCGGTGAACCCTACAGCACAGCACTTGCCTTCAAAAGCAAAACTCTTACAAATCAACAGAATAACTTTGCTGATGCCCAGAAAACGGGTAACATTTCAAAATTCTAGATTCCACAAACCCCCAAATCAGATTTTCTGCAGAATGTTAAAATAAACCTACACTTCTCAGGTTTTGAGAAATATGATTAATGGCAGCTTGCAAGTGTTTTTCATTCTTTTTATGCGAATCTCAGTATAAGCCATCAATATTACTAGCACACAGTAACTGAAACGGTGCCCTGTGATGAGTTGAAACTCTGCCTGCCAGATGCGTCTGTTTGTTTTACTTGGTAGAAGTTTCTTTTTTCAAGTTTTCCTGTGCTAATATGAATGTAATAAATCAATGTTAACATAATAAATCAAACAAGACGTATAGCTCGAAATGCTCATTCAAATACAGCCACATTATCAAACTCCAAGAGGTTGAAATACCCACGAGTGAGTACTAAATTGAGAAGACTTAATCGAGACCAACAATCATTACTTGGTTACGGCAATGCAACATCACATCATCCAAGTTTCCAATTAGAGCAATACAGGATGGACATTTCTGTAGAGAAACATCAAGCACAAGTAATAAACATGACAAAACAAAGCACTCTATTAAACACAATATCATCATAATTTCTCCTCTGTAACTGACATTGTAAAGAACGTACCAACCAGATTAAAAATGGACACTAGCTCTGTGATACCTCAAGATATGGCAGAACATTTTGCATTCAATTGCATGCTTACTAATTTGCATCAGGTAATAGTTTAGCATTACCACTGTACTTGTGGCATTAGTTTAAAAAGGTAACATTCTATTACTAATGGAGAAACCCAGCAGGTCTGGCAGCATTTATGGGGAGAAAACAGAGCTAACATTTCGAGTCTGGTGACCGTTCATCAGAAATGATAACAAACAGTCACTGCACTCTAAACATCAACCTTGCAGAGTTTCTTAGCAATTTCTGTTTTTATTTCAGATCTCCAGCATCCATAGCTCTTTGCTTTATTCCAGTATCACTTTTTCATTGTTATTTTTTCAAGTTTATAAAGTTCTAGCTTTACAGTTAACCTTTGGGATTTTGGGACATAAAAATCATCAGCGCAGCAGATTACTGTGATACTACTGTCACTGTCAGGAGGGGATCTTTCCAGTACCAGAAAACCTTTAGGCTATTCCCAAATTGGGCACATTTGATCAAATGTATGCTATCCATATAGCACCTACCTCTGCTGTCTGAATGGACAATACCACTGCTATTTGTGATGGCTTCAGAAAACTTGGCTATTGAACCAAGGGCGAATATATTCACCTAACATCACCATGACAGGGACTGACTATATAGACTATAGATGCTATTCCTTAACAAGGGACCCCGAATGCCATTTTTGTTTCATATTGAAAAATGGTGCTCTAGCCAGTTAGAGTCATACAGCTGTACAGCATGGAAACAGACCCTTCAGTCCAACTCATCCATGCTGACCAGATATCCTAAATTAATCTAGTCCTTTTGCCAGCATTTGGCCCATGTCCCTGAAAACTCTTCCTTTTAATACACCCATCCATATATCTTTTAAATGCTGTAATTGTACCAGCCTCTACCACTTCTCTTAGCAGATTACTTAAACCAAATTCAACTCCATAACCAAAGATCAGATTTAAAATCATAGGCAAAGATGTAGCTGAGGAGAAATTTTCTATAAAGAATTGTCAGGACCTGTAACACTTTAACTGTAAAGGTTGTGGAAAGTGATCTATAAATAATTTTAAAGGAAGTTGGACAGGTATTTAAGGATGAGGAATTTATAGGGTAACTGACAAAAAACATGGTGTGGGACTTTAGCATAAATGTTTTATTGGACAGCTGGCACAGGTGCATACAACCACATGAAATAAGAGCAGAGGTCAGTAGAAAGATTCAGTCCCTTGAGCTGCTCCACCATTCTATAAGATTATGACTAATTAGTTTGTTTTGAATTCCACTCTCCCATCTACCCCGATAATCCTGAATTCCCCTGCTAAACAAGAATGTATACCCCTCCGTCTTAAAACATTCGACAACCCAGCCTCCACTGCCTTCTGAAACAGAGTTCCAAAGTCGCACAACCTCAGACAAAAAAATTTACACCTCTGTAATGAAAGGGCAACTCCTGATTTTAAAACTGTGCTGTCCGCTTCTGGACTGACCCACAACAGGAACCTTCCTTTCCATGTCTACCCTATAAAAACCATTCAGAATCTTATACGTTTCAATAAAAACATCACTCGCTCTTCTAAACTCTAGTTGGAACAAGCCCAGAGACTAGGTTAGTCATTCCAGGTATCAATTCTCCTCTGAACCACCTCCCTAAAGCCTCTGGTGTTGAAAATTTCTGTGCTTCTAAATCAGACATCTAAAGATCATCTTTTCTTGCCTGGTTAAGATATTCTATCCACCATGATGTTGCCAGCAAGGTCGGTAGTGTTCGGGTTCATCGGAGCCTGTCTGCTCCAGGACGACAGCATCGTTCTCTTTATGTACTTTCTGTCTTTTTTCTTTTCTTCTTCCTTTCTTCTTTGAGGCTGGAATGGTGCCAGCATGGCAGTGGCTGCAGCGTTGGCGGCATGGACAGGGATTCCGGCCGGCGGTAGGCCCGGAGCCTGGACTCTTGGTGGTGTTGGCGAGACTGTAACGGCAGCAAAGCCGGAGTCTCCTGGGGCGTCAGCATCATTATTGCTGTTCCCAGAGTGGGAGTCCTTGAGGACCGGAATACTTTGCAGAAGCCCTGAAGTGTGCTTGAGACCCCAATTTGAACTAAAGATGAATTTTTACTTAAGTAATTTCTTTTTATTCTTAATGTAATTTGCCGGATTGTGGTGACTGAGCACTTTCCACAATATCTTCAAGATATATGTGACAATAAATAAATCATTCATTCCTATTCCTAACTACTAGGAGCTAGTACAATGGTCCTGGATAAGAAGTTCCCAGACTACTGGGAGCTAGTTGCTACAGTTTAGCAGAAACATTAACAATGACTTCCATTCTAGTGCCACCAGCTGGTATTACATGGAAAGTGAACAGGGATATAAGTATTTTAAGCCAGTACATTTCCAAAGGAAATGTTTGCGTAGGAATTCTGAACGAAGCACACAACACTGGTGATGATTTTAACATACATAAGACCCATACAGTGGGACAAGCACCCGACTCTATTCTAGTTGTTAGGTTCTCACCTTATCATACTGGCATACAACAACATTTTCTGTGTCAAAGAGTTCTTGCCCCTCTTCATCACTGACATCATCTTCACTGTTCAGTGGTTCCTTAGAAATTTAGAAAAAGCAATTAATGCAGAATTTACACAAACATAACAGTCCGCACTTTGCTGAGAGTCAAGCCAGGCCGGGTTAAACTTGCATGTGCACATGACCCACACACAAGCCTGACAATTCTCACAGAATTTCACATTTCTACAATTCCAGTCTCTTGAGCATTCCTCACACTTTTTAGTTCAAGGTTGAAGTCTGTGCTTTCAGCTGCCTCGACTCAGATTTGAAATTCCCACTTTCTCTGTCTTTTCTCCCTGGACACCTTCCTGAAAATTCACATCTGGCAATGCTTTAAGCCTTCCCTCCAGATACCTCCTTCTTTGATTGCATATCAGTTTGTCAAATTATGGTTTTGCAAAGCACTTTAAGGCTTTTTTTTGTACTTTAATGATACAACATTAGTGCAATGTATTACTGTTGCATTCATATAAGCATGAAGAAATGGGGAAATGTGCAAAATTTCAAACAATCACAACAATTTATACCACAGGAGAAAAGGGTGACGATTGATTAGCAAGTAGACTCTGACTGGCAGAGGCATTGTCATTGTCATGGAGAATGCAAGGGGAACTATACGGTCCCAAAGCTTCCACGTAATTTTTAAAAGGGCAAGGCTTCTCTCCTTGTCAAGTGACATATCCCTCTTCTCAGCAATATTCTCAAATTCTGCTCTACCAAGCACCAGTGTATGTGACATTTTTAAAGCAGGTTTCTAATGGTATACGAAGAGATTTCGAAGATAACTTAAGTGTTTGGAATGTTGTATTCTGTATAAATCTGCTTTCAATGCATGTCATGTTACCTCTTCAACTTGTCCATCTTCCCCAACCTCCTCCTTATCCTTTTCTTCTTCCTCATCATCATACTCATCCTCTTCATCATCGTCATCTTCCTCTGATGAAGTGTCTCCAGACCCATCTACTTGCACCACTAAAGGCGGTTGTTGTTGTTGTTGTTGCTGTTGCTGTTGCTGTTGTGGTTGTTGTTGCTGTTGCTGTTGTGGTTGTGGTTGCTGTTGAACAGGAGTGGAGCTGTTTGTTTGACCAACCTGTGTCGATGGGGTTGCTGCTACAGTGGTGGCTTGCATAACCTGAAAGGTTAATTTTAACAGCTGTCATTTCTAAAAACCTAAAGTTAGATAGTCTAGTATCATTATAGTCACCTCACTCTGAACATATTTAACTTGCACACAAAAACATAACAGGTAATTTAGACAGATTTTTAATTCTAAGCTCATGTACACAAATCTGGCAATGAAGTACAACATTCCAGACATCACAAGAATTTCAAAATAAACCCAAGGCCTCGTACTGGCTACCTGGAGATGTTAAATACACTTTCTTGTACTCTGAGCACAATACAGAACTCTTGACAATTGTAATGTCAATGAGCTGAAGGTTAGGCGTTAGTGAAAGGTTACGAGACAAGCCTGCAGTCTGGGAGTCAGTGGAGTCAGACTCCAGTGTGTGTCATGGTCAAGTGGTGCCAGATGACTTCCCCAATGAAACTGAACGCACAATGTAAAGATATGATTTCACTTTCGCGTTTATGAAGCAAGTCCAGTACACAACATGGATACCATCCTGTCTACTTCTACTACAGAATACCTGTGTGTTTGAAGGAACTTTGTTCCCTGCAACAAGAATTTGCTGAGGTTGAATGATCACTCCAGTCTGCTGAGGGATACTTCCAGGTGGCAGTGGAGCCAGCATCTACAGGGAAGGAAGGTGTAAACCAAGCTTAATAACTACTCTCCACAACGGGATTTCAAGGATTAAGCAAATAGTACAATGTTCTTCAAACACAGTAAAAGATTAGTGAAAAGACAGCGTGAGGCCCATAAGGAACATGCAGGGTAAGCTGCTCACTGAAGCAAAAGATATGGCAGAGGTTCTATATGAACATTTTGTTTCTGTCTTTACCAAATTAGAAGATGGTGACAATGGTCTAGTTGAAAATGTGGGTGCTCAGCAATTGATCATTATAGTGATAAAGAAGAGATGCTAAAAAGGCTGGCAGCACTCTTATGTTGACATGTTAGATTGGCATATGGATAATAGTATAAGGCAGGGGTGGAGGTTAGATGGACCTTAGGATTAGGGTAAAAGTTCGGCACAACATCATGGGCTGAAGGGCCTGTACTGTGCTGTACTGTTCTATGTTCTATGTCACCAGGCCTGGATGGGATGCATTCTAGATTTATGACAGAGGTGAGAGAGCAAATTACAGGAGCCATTGACAGAAATTTTCCAGGCCTCTCTGAACACAGGATTAGTCTCTGGGAACTGGAGGATTTTAAATGTGATAATAGTGTTGTTTAAGAGAGGGGCAAAAGGCAAGCCAGAAAACTACAGACCTGTCAGCTTGACATTAATAGTGGGAAAACTGATAGAAGCCTTAAGACTGGATAAGATAAATGTACACTTAGACAAAAATAAGCTAATACTAGACAGTCAACATGACTTTATCAACAGCTGGTCATGTCTGATAAATTCAATTGAATTCTTTGATGAGGTGGCACAGACAGTGAATGAGGGTAAGTGCTCTGGATGTATATTTGGATTTTCAGAAAGCATTTTTTATGTTGCCAAATAGCACGTTCATTAGCAAATTAGAAATGTTTGGGATTGATGGGTCCTTGGCAGCATGGATTAGAAGCTTCTTAAAAGGTAGGAAACAAAAGATAAGTGCAGATGGACATTTCTCAGATTGGAGACAAGTTGAAAGTGGTGCTCCCAAGGGATGGGTATTGGGACCTTTGTTTTTTCCTGATTTATATAATCAACTTGAAGATGGATGTTGAGGGCAAAATCTCTTAATTTGCTGATGATACAAAGCTAGGGAGAATACTGAGTTGTAAGAATCATGCTGAACGACATCAGAGGGAATTGACAAGTTGGCCAAATGGGCAGACAGCTGGTAGATGAATTTCAATGCAGAGAAATGTGAAATAATGTACCTTGATATAAGAAATCCAGAGAGGCAATACGGGCTCAACGATGCAACTTTTGGGGGAGTATAGCAGCAGAGAGACCTTGGGGTTCATGTGCATGATTCTTTGAAGGTGGCCAGGCAAGTTGAAACAGTTGTTAAGGCGGTTTACAGGATCCCTCAGTTTATAAATACAGGCATTGTATAAAAACAAGGAAATGAATGCTACACCTCTATAAACCATTGGTCTGACCACATTTGGAGTACTATGTTAAGTTCTGGACACCTTATTTAAGGAAGGATGTTGAAGCCCTGTACAGAGTTCAAAGGAGATTTACTAGAATGATACCAGGATGGAGGGCTTTTAGATACAAGGAAAGATTAGAGAAATTAGGCTTATTCTCCTTGAAAGTGACTTCATTGACGTGTTCAAACTTTGAACAATTTTGACAGTAAAGACAGACACTCTGTTTTCACTAGTTGGTATGTGAGTAACCATAGGCCCCAATTTCAAGATGGTCAGCAAGAGAGCTAGGAGTGAGGTGAAGAGTTGTTAGGATTTGGAATGTGTTGCCTGGGAGAATGGCAGAGGATGATTCCTTAGGAGGCTCAATAGAGAACTGGGTAAATATTTGAATTAGAGGGCTACAGGGATAAGGATGGAGAATAGGGCCAGCTGGGTAGCTTTTCTGGAAGCCGATACATTCATGATGGGTCAAATGGCCTCGTACTACATTGTAAAATTCAATGATTCAAATACATGCATACATGGTGTACAAATGCAATGTTCCCCAACACAGAAAACCAAAAGGGTTACCTTTTGATTTTCCACAGAATATTTTCACTTTACTGATTTAAAATGCATCTTACAGAACTGTAGACACTATGACAATTTAACAGACAGCATTATATAAACCAGGGTAAAAGCATATTCTACTTCAATAATATCAAAAAGGGATGCTTGCTATTTTTTAAAATATTGGGCAGTGTTTTACAAATTAATTGAGAAAAATCATTGAATACACAAATAATTAACTGTACTAACAGCAATTCACAAAAACAGAAATATTTAAGAACTTACAATAAGAGTTCAGGCTCACTATGTATGCGGCATATTGCAAACATATGATTCCTCTTGATAAGGAAGAAAATGAGATAATCTTTATTGACAGTCCTATTTGTTTCTCCTTTATCTATAACTCTGAGGAGTGCTTTTTTGGTAAATTACATTATGGTGTATCTTTTATAGTTTTTCACAATATCAATTTGTAAAACAAAAGGATTTTACTTTACTTGATTTAATTTTAAGAGGGCCAGAACCATAAAGCCATACAAGGTTGCACAGCAAAAGGTGACCATTTCTGTGTTGAAATAATTCAAAGTGACTCCTTCTGCCCTGCTCTTATTTTATTTTATTCTTTTATTAAGCTTTTATTTTCTTCTGCTTAGAATATTTACCTTCTTTTGCTTCACAACATATATTGGTCTTGAGCAGGCACCAATTTGGAAAATAGTATCTGAAAATTCATTATTCATTTAACAGTCCTGAATACAAATAGTCATTTGCAAACACAGAATGTAGTACTACTGGAAAAAAAATACATACTTGGTGAAGCTTAAGGTCTTGCATGCATCAGGACAATTCTTCCAGTTTATTTAATGCTATGGTTAAACTGTCATAGCATCTATATCTCAATCCGTTGCATCTTAAATAAAAAAGAAAATTTTCTGGGCCCAGCCTACCTCAGGATACCCTGGAACAGTAAAATATCTCAAAATGTGAACAACTAGCCGTTACACACTGCCAATATGCAGTGTTTGCCGCTAACAAGAAGCTGCTGTCAAGCCAAAAAAAAGTTCTATCAAACAAAATATTAATGTAATATAAAAATTTTAATGTCAGTCTGATACTTGGTGTATAGACCACATCTCTGAAAGGCTGGCAGATTATATCAAACAGCATACATCTTTGGCCATTCACAAGCAGCAAGGCACTGACTGCATCCAAACAACACACGCCTGCAAAACTCATTCACAACGTCTAACATTAAGTATGATTCTGCACCTAGACAACAGTTACTAAATAAAAGCCAAAAGAACTGCAGATGCTGTGAATCAGGAATAAAAACAGAAGTTGCTGGAAAACTTCAGCAGGTCTGGCAGCATTTGTGAAGAAAAAATCTGAGTTAACATTTCCGGTCTGGTGACCCTTCCTCAGTCCTGAGGAATGTTAGCTCTGATTTCGCTCGGTTGAAATCCTGAAGAGATTCTTCAATCCCATTGGGCATTGTGGATCAACCCACACTACATGGACTGCAGTGGTTCAAGGAGGCAGCTCACCCTCGCCTTTTCAAGGGCAACTAGGGACAGGCAATAAATGCTGGCCAGCCAGAGACACCCACGTCCCACAAAAGAATGAAAAAAACAAAAATATGTAGCTTCCAGTACATGTAGGTACACACTGTGAGCATAACTGACCATTCTAAATTGGTTGTTGTCAATATATATTTCCAAGTCAGGGTGGCAACACGCTTGGAGAGGAACTTGCAACTAATGGTCTTCCCATGTACCTGCGATCTTGTGCTTCAAGATGGAAGTGTTTGTGGGTTTGGAATGTGCTGTCTAAGGATCTTTGGTGAATTTCTGCAGTGCAGTTTGTAGATAGTACACACTGCTGATACTAAGCATCTAGCTTCCAGTACGCACAAGCAGATTCACAGAGTATGCACATACACTGCAACTCAACAAGATAGGTGACAGCCATTCTCTGGTTCATTTTTCAAGGCAAAACTATGACCAGATTCAATCTACCTAGTTTAAAATTTGGGCAAGCTTGACAGTTAACTGTCAATCAATGGTAATTAGTGCATTCCCCATGGCAATATTTCTACCAATCAGAGTACACTTGCCAAACAGCCATCACTCTCCTCTCATACAATATAAAAGTTGTTTTCCCTTGACTTTGGTATTTCTTGTGAATTGTCCTGATGAACACAAGATGAAAAGTTATGGTAAATAGAAATTTAGTTATAGAATAGAAGTTTGGTTACAGTAATCCATTTTCTTATCAACCTTAACTGGCACTAGATGACAACTAATCAGTCAGAATTCACACGACACCAGATTATTGTCCAATAGGTTTATGTGAAGTCACAAGCTTTCAGACTGCTGCTCCTTTGTCAGGTGAAAGCCTGTGACTTCAAATAAACCTGTTGGATTATAACCTGGTGTTGTGACATCTGACTTTGTCCACCCCAGTCCAACACTGCCACCTCCACATCATAACTAATCAGTGGTACACACCTGCTGTATGACAGGTGCCTGCACACCACCAGACTGCATCTGCTGAATAACCTGCTGCTGAGTCACTGACTGTGCAAGGACAACTTGCTGGTGTGGCTGGAAAAAGTAGTGGGCTCCATTAGGAGCTCGTACAACTTGCAGCAGTTGCCCTGTGGAAAAACAAGAATTTGCATGGGTTACATATAGACAGCTAGAAAACATTAGCTAGATTTTGAAGATCACAAATTTTTAAAACAATTTATATTCATATAGTATCTCTGACATTATAAAAATGTTCCAAGGTTTTCCACAGGCATGTTCCCACATCAAATTTGATGTCAAAAGTCACATATAGAGATATTAAGTCATGTGTCCAAAAGTTTGATCAAAGGATCTTAAGAAGAAGATTTAGAGGGGCAAATGCATTTAAGAAGAGAATTCCAAAGTTCAGCCACTTTGTAACTGGAGGCAAAGCTGCTAATCGTGGTGTGATTAAAATTAGGGATAAGATAGATGCTGGAATTAGAAGAACATTAAGGTATCTCAAAGAGTGTTGTGCTGCAGGTAGTAAAAGGCTCAGTGCAGGGAGGATAGGGAGGGATTTGATAGTAAATATGAGAATTTTAAAAAGTTAACTAGCATCGATGATATCTCAAGTAACACGAAATTAGAATTTTTCTAAGGAGGTATGCTGTTGAAGCTTTTTGCTTTGCCTTCAACAGGCCAAATACAAAATGCCACACTTCAAATGATCACACTGGAGAAAAGCATGCTGATTGGTTGGCAAGTTAACTTTGCACTGGTCTTGAATTTTCTGGGAGGGTGGGCTCCTCTTTAGTTCCTCATTACTTTTTCATGGCAACACCATGGCCAATCCATCAGCACCTATTTCTCCTGCAATATAAAATGATGATTGTTTGAAATTTGTAATTCTTGCCTACTTCCTGATGTGTGAAAGACAAAAGGTTTCATTAACATCTCTCTCTAATCAACAATATTCAAATCCTGTTTCTAAGTAGCTGCTTAAAGAAAAAAGGAAGCCATTCAGTTCCTTGTGCCTATGTCAGCTCTCTGAAAGATCCAAATAATTTTTTACACTCTGCATCCTCTTTGTTCACAGCTCTGAAAATTTTTCTTTTTCAAATATTTCCTTTTGCAAGTTACATCTGCTTTCTTCATCCTATCAGACAAATATGTTGAGACATTTTTAGTTTTCCATCTTGACACAAACCACTTTACCAGAGAATTCATCTCCCCAGCCTGACCTTACCCAACTCACCAGATGTGGACTCAAAGTCAGGTGTATGATCATAAAAAAGTCATTTAAAATTCAAAGTAGAAGTACATTTACAACGTATAGATAAAGGTAAAGAAGAAAAGCAAAAGGAAAACACTAATTCCAAACTTGTCCATCAAATCTGAACCAAGTAGACAGCAGTACAAACGAAAAGTAAGAGTCCAGGGGTTGTTTGAGTTGATATACAGAGCTCTTTCTGCACCCTACTATCAATGAAGACCATAAAATTAGGATTTGCTTTTACCTGTATTCGCTAGTATTGGTCCATTAGAAAGCTGGTAGGGAGCTGGAACACCGGCTGGTAACGCCAGAGTTGCTGCAGTAGCAGCTGCACTCTGCAAAACAAAACAGAAAGTATTTAACTGACAAAAAACAATCATAGTGGAAAGATTTATTCAGCTCTGGGGTGTATACACATTAAAAATTACACTTCAATTCAGTTGCAAATGTGATGAAATACATATGTGCAAAACAGTAGGTGAAGCCACTTTCAGTTTTGTGACAGTAATCAAGATCTTTTAGGATTAATACTGGAGAGAGTAATGGAGAGTAAGGCTACGGACCAGATATTGGAAAGTGAAATTAGAACCGGCAGCTAGAATACAAAATCAACCTAAAATAGCCACAAAGATCAACTGATGATCAGTTTTACAAAATTGCCAAAATTTAACATTTCCTACCTTATCGCCAGTAAAGATAGAAGTAACAAAAAATTTCACATAGTTGAAATTGACTGCAAACAGGAAAAGCCTGGCTGTAAAATAATGCTTACTTCCAGGTTCCCTGTGTGGACACGACTGGTATCTTTCTGTGCTGTAACTTTTCTATGGCTCCAATGGACTAGTTTTCTGTCAATCAACCTGTTCTGTTAATATTAAGACTACTGCCGACATTGGTAGGACTTGAAACTGGTCCTTCCGGTTCATAGGCAGGGACTAACCAACGCACCACAGGAGCTCCTGGTTTCGTGGACTACAATATCTGATGACATTTAAATCACATGTGACAGGATGTTGACTTAAATAAAAATACATAGTACAAGAAAGGCCACTGAAATGAATTGGTCTTGAAAAATAAAATAACCCAGTACCAGGCAACAAAAATGAATTGTATCTTTTTATCATTGTGAATGTTGAGATGATGAGCTTTACAAATTCTAAAAAGCATGAAGCCACTTGCTACACAAAACAATTTCGGAAGCTGTACCCTTTCACCTCCTTATTTCTATATCAGGCATAAAACACTGCAATTTTTTCAGAACTAGGTAACGGAATGTGACATGAAATGGTATCCCAGAATATTCAGGAACGCGTGCATGCGTCTGTGGTGGTTTGGGGGATCGGTGGGGGGGAGCCCTCCAGGAACTGATGCACAAGTATTAAATGATAGGAAATGACTTCCAAGACAGGAATGTTTCAGAGAGAGCCATTCCTGCTCTCGTACATCTCATAGTACGAGAGGGAAGGAATAAAATCTGTGTCATCGTTCAGCTGATTATTAAGAAATTCACTGCTCCTACAAACAAACTGGAAAACCAGAAAACAAATTAATCAATTGAACAATTTTGACAGTCTAAAGTTAATTCAGCAGCAAAAATTGATTAAATGCCCTCTCGTGTCTATAATTATAATTGCATGGAATTCGGAATAAATTTGAAATCCAGATAGGAAGAGGCTTGCAAAAATGACAACAGCTCAAGCATTAGAATACAAAATCAATCTAAAATAGCCACAAAGATCAACTGACGATCAGTTTTACAAAATTGCCAAAACTTAACATTTCCTACCTTATCGCCAGTAAAGATAGAAGTAACAAAAAATTTCACATAGTTGAAACTGACTGCAAACAGGAAAAGCCTGGTTGTAAAATTATGCTTACTTCCAGGTTCCCTGTGAATAATGACCAATTGAATGAGGGATCAGAGAATTGCCAGTTCTGAGGAAGGGTCACTGGACTCAAAACATTAACTCTGATTTTTCTTCACAGGTGCTGCCAGACCTGCTGAGCATTTCCAGCAACTTCTGTTCTTGTTCCAGATTTACAGCATCCACAGTTCTTTGAGTTTTTACCAGAGAATTGCCAGTGGCTGCCCTGTGAAAATGTATACTAGCAACATGCAACACCTCCAGGAGGAGGAAAGAAAAGAAATCAAGAATACATAAATTTTTAGATATGTATGTTTGTGTTTGTGCACGCTTGTTCATATCCTTACCATGCCAGACGGATTCATATGTTGTATTAGTTTCCCATCTTGCATAATAACTTGCGGTCCTGATTTATGAGAAGATGAGAAAACTATGGGATAAATTAAGCAAAGTGAAATACTGAGATTAGTATTTTGAATAAATGAACTCAGTGGGGAAAAGGTTAGCATCATGGTCCTCAGGTCTTACATTTCTCATGTACTATATCAGCACTGTGAAATCGAGAAGAGAATCATTTTAATTGATTGACTTTACTTTCCCTCCCCATGTAAGGAATAACTAAGCAGAAGTTAAAACCTAAGACTCAGGAGAAGGAGTTTCTTTTAAAATTATTCTTTCATACAATATGGGCATCATCAGCAAGGCCAGCAGTTGTTGCCCATCCCTAAGTGCCGTTTCAAGCTCAGTAGATTGCTCGGCCTATTTCAGAAGGCTGTTAGGACTAAGAACATTGCTGTAGATCTGGAGACACATGTAGGCCAGACAATATAAGATCATGAGTGAATCATGAGGGTTTTTGTGACAATGATAGGTTCCTGGACATTGTTATTGAAACTAGCTTTATATTCCAGATTTATTAACTTAATTCAAATTCCACCAGCTGCCATGGTGAGATCTGAACTGTATCTCCACAGCATTAGCCTGGGTCTCTAGATCATTAATCCAATAAATAGTAGCACTACCTTATTATCACCACCACCAACCCCCTTCCTATTTAGCCCTTAAAGCCAGCTCCACAACTTGATAAGACCAGGCTAATCTGGTTATAGGCTCACATCCATCATCCTATCCGCTCCCTTAATCTGGACACCATTGTTTATCAAAAAGTTGTCCAACAGCCTTTACTGACCTAGCCTCTACTGCTTTCTGGGCATGAGAATTCCTGATATTAGCAATCCTGAGAGTGAAAAAGGAAACTATTGTCTCGGTATTGTTCTTTAACTCTGTCCTCTAGCTCTAGTCTCCACCAGGAAGCCTCTTAAGAGTTTTTTTCTCTATTCATTTATGGGATGTGAGTGTCACTGGCTGGCCAGCATTTCTTGCCCATCCCTAATTGCCCTTGAGAAGGTGGTGATGAGCTGCCTTCTTGAACCACTGCAGTCTTCCTGCTGTGGATTGATCCACAATGCTATTAGGGAGGGAATTCCAGGAATTTGACGCAGCGACAGTGAAGGAACAACGATATATTTCCAAGTCAGGATGGTGAATGGCTTGGAGGGGAACTTGGAGGTGCTGGTGCTCCCATATGTCTAATGCCCTTGTCCTTCTAGATGGAAGTGCTCATGGGTTTGGACGGTGCTGTCTGAGGATCTTTGGTGAATTTCTGCAGTGCATCTTGTAGATATTACACACTGCTGCTACTGAGCGTCAGTGGTGGAGGGAGTGGATGCTTTTGGATGTAGTGCCAATCAAGCGGGCTGCTATATTGCTATCTATATTGCTTTCTCAGGTCCTTTTACATCTTTTTCATATCCATCCACCTTGGATTTCTCATATTTATAGTTTATATTTATCTATTTATATTACATATTCATATTTAATCCATAATATATGGACTTGATGCAGTTGGATCATCAGTTGGCTCGTCAACTCTGTGGTTACCCTGACATATAAATCTCAGAATTAAAAGCAGAAAATGCTGGAGAAATTCAGCAGTTCTGGCAATTTCCAGGGAGAAAGAGTTATTGTTTCACACCCAACATCATTCTCCAGAACTTTCTGATTTTATCTGAGATTTCCAGCATCTGCAGTATTTTGCTTTCATATTATTCTGAGTTCAATAGTCACCAGCACTGTTGATAGAGCTACAGTTCTTGTTTCAAAGTTGAATGAATTGATGATAAATTGTATAATATCTAGCTTCTTACATAAATCGAAAAGCAATAATCAAACTTCTATCACCTTTCTGCATTAATCAAGGTCTTTAAAAACATTGATCGTTATTAGGCACTTGCACAGATTTCTTCCTCCACTCAGTTGTGTAAATAATGGAACAGAAGATGGAATAGACACCCCACAGAACAACCACGTGAACAATACATTAAGGAAACTCAAAATCTGAAACCATCTTCCTCACCACCCAACCGTCCCTTTTACAGTCTTTTTCTATGGGCACAATTTTAACATAAGTTACCAAGTGGGAAACTGATGTAACCTGCATCAGCAGTCCACTTTTTATCTTTCCAACGGTTGTGATGAAACGTAACATTGAAAAATGACTAAAACAGATGGTATGTCTGAATGCAGCACTTTCCCACTGGATCAATTAGATTGAAGTTCATGTCTTTACAAAGACAAGAAAGGTTGGTACTATATTAACCTAGCGTAAGTAACTAACATGAGTGATCTGCCACCAGCAGTAAGAGTATCTCCAACTCAGACACATAAGGGATTAGCAAAACAATAACTGCAGCTATCTATCACTGTATGTCATCAAAATGCTATTTTGGGGCACTGCATGGACTTACAATAGGAGGTCCCTTAAAACTGGTACAAGCAATATTAAACAAAACCTTGCCCAACTCAGGAAACCCAAAATGCTTTACAACCAAAAGCATTTCTGAAGTGTTGTCACTCTTGTAATGTAGGACATGCGGCAGCCAATTTATGCACAGCCAGATTACTCAAACAGCCATGTCATAATCTGTTTCCACGATACTGGTTCCAGGTTAATCACTGAACAGGTAGAATGGCCACACTCTTTTTCAAAGGAGTGCCATGTGGCCTTTTGCATGTACTAGAGAGGCAGTCGTTGCCTTGCTTTAAGAGTTCATGTTAAAAATGGCACTTCTAATAGCATATCACTCACTCAGTGATGTGCTGAGATTGTCAGCCGGATTAAGTTCTCAAGTATGTGGAACAGGACATGAATCCACAACCAGAGAATCAAAGATAAAAGCGCTACAACTGAGCTGCAGCTGACAGGTCTGGCTCAAGTAAAATTGAAAGGAGAAAACAGCGAGGGAACTCATTTTCCTGCATGTAACTCACATCATGTATCTGTCATATTTATGCATTGTGGTATATCCCCCTTAAATTCAGTTTTGAATCTCCCTAACTGAAAGGTATCTTCTTAACAGTGTCACTATAACTAACCTGAATTAGCAGGTATTGTGAGCACTTGCTGTGTCTGTTGCTGCTGAGCTTGATGCTGATGTTGTTGTTGTTGCTGTTGCTGTTGCTGCTGCTGGTGGTGTTGTTGTTGTTGTTGTTGTTGTTGCTGTTGTTGTTGCTGCTGCTGTGCCTGAATTAAAATCTGCTGCTCCTCTGAGTGGAAGCCGTCAACAGCTTTTGACTGCATTAGCTTGCTCTCCCATAGCTGGCAGTTCAGGGAAAAAAAAAAGAGAATTTAACTTTAACATAAATGAGAGAGGTTTGATTCAGAGATCCAACTTCAAAGAATTTGGCACAGAAAAGCCGTTTTCCCCAAGGACAGACCAACAAGCTGATCTGAAAACATGGCCGTAAGCTAAAGGGCAACTGAGAAGGTGAAACTTTGATGAAAACTAGAACAAATGCTTGATATTGCTAAAAGAAACAGTCACACTGTCAAAGCTTTTTATCTTTCACTTATCAGGACAGAATGGCAAGATTTCCAAATTTCAACGGAACAAGAAGGATGTTGATTGGTTGGAAAATGGACTCTGATTGGTCGAGGCATTGCCGTAGAAAATTCACCAAGAAATAGTTACACCTCCTTCCCAAGTTTTTATTTAAATTCAAAATCAGGCAAGTTGACTCTCAAGCTATTACACAGGAACATACCAAGGAACAGTCCACGTGTAAACTTTTGCTTCACTGAAAAGGGCACAATAACTCTATTCTTTCACTTTCTAAGAGACAAGGCTCTACATATCTACACATCTATAAATGAGTCACATTATAAACTTAACTGATAATCTCAAATTCTTTGTTACTAATTCTCAGTCTAGATTTTTTGTTGTAAGTATAATCCAACCATGGAAATCACATCTAATGTTAAACACAGTTCTTAATTTTGCATCGCATGTGGGTCAATACTCTGCCTGCTGCAAACAATCAAAGGGACGTTCTGTTTAATTCAATCTGACAGTTGTTGAGGTGTACAGCCTACATAACTGGCATCATACCAACACTGAAATCTAGATATGATATTACCAATTGGTAGGCAGAATGTCACTTTTGGTTTGATCAAATATACCTTGTTCAAAAATTGCAACAGCAAACTATAAAAGGAATACCAAGAAGAACTTATACTGTATAAATATAAGTTGATCTCCAGATTCCTTAAGGCTAGGGGCACTTGTAGAAAAATGCCCATTGTCTCCTATTTTATTCCACATAGAAAATGTGAGACTGCTAAAAAAAAAAGCAACATTCACATTTACATTTGCTTCACATTGATGTTTATGTCAGAAAGAACAAATTACAGGCAAGGACTGGTTAGATCGGTGATGTATTTACAATCCTCACTGGATTTACAAAAGTGCCACTAAACAAATCAGAGCAATTATGCAAGCCCTGTGATTTCAGTACATTAAAAGTCATGGTTGACATCTATAGTGCTTTACACCTGAGAAATTGCAGTGAACCTAAAGTATACTTTAGCACAAGAGTGGCTTTTGAAACCTTTTTATATTGTTAAAATAATCACAAAATTGAATTTTGTAATTACAGGGATATTGTACTGTCAATGGAATAAATTGTGCAATCTAGCATTCACTTTGAATAGCAAAAGATGAATTTAAATTGCTATATAGTAGTAATTTACTACCATAATATACAACCGCCAAAAGGAAGTCAAAATACAGAGAATCAATTTCAAGTGTTAGGATTCTGCCAGTTAAGTGTTTTGTTAGCTAGCCAACATGTAACATGTCAACACACTATCCTGCCAAGCTGTGAGAACAGATCATCATTAGAATGTAAACTGTGATTCAATGTAAACACTGGAGGAAGGTTTTCATTACACATTCAAACAAAAACTAAGTTAAAAAAATGAAAGTTAGGTACTTTAAAAAATCCTACCGTTTTTAATTCTATAAGAACTTGTTCATCCACTCCTTCATCAAGGAACTGTTCTCGTACGTCGTTGATTACATCTTCAATCACTGATCTGTAGAGTTTAGGCTAGTGAACCAAAGAAAAATTAAAGAAATAAAAACTAGAGGTTTAAAAAGTGTGAACTAAAATAAATTGTTCCTACTTTTCATCCCGAATTACATTTTATTATTAGTTAACCATTACTAGTGGCAGTGGATTCTATCAAAATATGTTCATTAGTTTTTTTTTAAAACTGTTTTTTTTCAGAGATATTACTACACAGCCCTGGAGCAGGTAGGACTTGAACCCCCGGTTTCTCCATTCAGGGGTAGGTGCGCTGTCACAGCACCACAACAGGACCCTATGGTTTTTTTTAAAAAAGATGTTTGAATGTGTGACAGACCAACAGGAGTAAATCACAATGCAGGTGAATAAAACAGGCAACCTATCAAAGCTTTCAAATTAAATGCAAAAATATCCTTGCAGTTGACCTCTTAATTGTATTACTATTCAAAAAGCCTTTGCTATATAGGTTGGTGTTCTCCAGTGAACTGATTCAACGAAGAACAGCTTTCTCCTGCCTCTTGAAGATACAGGCACAGGGAGCCAGACTGCCCTCTGTCCCAAAAACCATAAGACATAGTAGCAGAAGCAGCCCATTGAGTCTGCTCATCCCTTCAATGGCTGACTTGACAACCCTCAACTTCCACACAGTTCTTAATCAGTGGGTGCCAAAGGTTATTTGACTACCTGGGACTGAACCCAAAATTATTTGTGGTCAATAACACATGCTCTCATTTTCCAGCAAACAGACTCACAATTACATCAACGAGGTAACTTACCTTCCTCTTAGCCCAGGATGCAGAAACCCAAATATATACACCACTCCGCTCTCTCACCCTCCCCCAACCCTAGCTCAGATTTGCCAAAATTGATCTGACTGCGGATTTATGCTCTGAGCAGGTAATCTGTTTACCCAAGACCTGCTCAAAACTTTGGAGGAGTTCTAGGATTGTTCTGAAGTTGCAGTTTCTACTGGTTGCTACAGAGTGACAAGGGATTAATTTCATCAGAACTATATCTGCAGAAGATTGAGGGGGTGGATGAATTGTCTGTGGCAAGTGGGTAAAGTTCATAACAATGGCTTCAGTTTCGCCAGTACTTAATTGAAAGAACCTGCGCCTCATCCTAAAATGCCTGGTGTGGCCATCCAGATTCTACACTTAGTGTTCCCAAGAAAGACAAAGAGGAATAATTCACAACAGAAAATAAGAATAGCAGAAAAGCAGCAAATGTACTGGAGAGATTAGGAGTTTCAATGAAAATGAGCATGGAACTGGGGTCACAATGTATTTGCAAATGCTGACAGTGGAAAAGCAGGTCAGGTGTAAAATTAGATACGAAAAGTACGGATGGGTTAGCGTTAAGGTAATTTTTAGCGAAGCTGTTGGAATGAAAGTCATTTTAAAAAGCATAAGTGTAGCAAACATGAGATGCAGTATTAAGATTAGCATGAAGGCTCCAATGGAAAAGGACTTGTTGAGACTGGAGGAGAAAAGGAGAAAGCAAGCAATCGAAATCCAGTACTCCAAATGTTGTATGGCAGTGTATTAGTAAACATTCTACTCTATTATCTGGAATTTCATAGAATCCCTACATTGTGGAGGCAGGCCAGTTGACCCATTGAGTCTACACAGATGCTCCAAAGACGAGCTCACCCCATCCCTGTAATCCTACATTTCCCATAGCTAATCCACCTAGCCAGCATATCGCTGGACACTACTGGCAATTTAGCATGGCAAATCCACCTAACCTGAACATCTTTGGACTGCGGGAGGAAACCGGACCACCCGTAGAAAACCCATGCAGACACAGGGAGAACGTGGAAACTCCGCATAGACAGTAACCAAGGCTACAATTGAACCCAGGTCTCTGGTACTGTGAAGCAGCACTGTTAACTACTGAGCCACCTACTATACCTGTGCTGATTTTAAGTGACTAGATTCTGTTTTAATTGCTTTGAGCCATTGGCACTGAAAGTGACATTTTTGATGTTATTCTCAGGTGTCTCTATGCTAGCTGGATTTTATTCTTCCTATAGTTTCTGTCCTACAATTTTACAATCTAAGAACAACATAAATCAGTGTTAAATTTGGCCTGCCACTTGATTAGACGAATATCAAATCTATTCCATAGGCATTTCATTTCTCCTGAGAGCTGTTCAGGTGCAGAGTGAATATTTTTGTATGTGGGGCAGTCTAGAACGAGATCATAGCTTTAGGATAAGGGGTAGTGATTTAAAAGAGCAATAATGAGAAATTACTTGATTGCGTCTGTGGTAGTGAATTCCACAGAGTGTGGTGGTTCCTGGGACATTGAGTAAATTTAAGGAGGAGTTAGATTTTTAATTAGTAATAAGTTGAAGGGTTATGGAGAGTAGACAGGAAAGTGGAGCAGAAGCCAAGATGAGATCGGCCATGATTTTATTGAATGATAAAGCAAGGTCAACGAGCTGAACTGCCCACTCCTGCTCCTAGTTCTAATAATATTACATGAATAAAAGCACTGAATGTCATTATTCTGCTAAACATTGAAATAAAACATGCCATCCTGAGGATCTCAATGTAGCTTCTGGATTAAATATTTAAGTTACGAAAATCTCTCTGCAAGAGACTGCACTAACTTTCACACTGAACTGCAGCTGGATCTTGTGCACTGCTTAATTTGTGAAGAATTCATTTATTATATATTAAAAAAGTATGTAACATTCCTAACCATTTCTTCTACTAATACTTCAGCTACTGCCTGCTGTGTGCAAATGCCTTTTCTCTGTTCTGTCAGCGTTTAATTATTCTGAACTCTTTTCACACAACTAAATCTCTTCACGGCTGTTTCCTTGCATCTATTAAGCACATCTTCTTGATGTCTACAATGGCTTGCTGCCCGGGGTGTGACTATGATATACCAGCCAAGAAATTCTTCCGATTCATACTGAACCAGCAGATTTCAACAATACTGTATTGATGAAAACAAACAACATGGTGTCAAAGATTTTTTTCATCTTGCAGTCCTCAGGACAAACACAAGAACACCAAATTTCAAAAGGGAAAAACAATTTATGCAGCATGAGAAAAGGGTGCTGATTGATCGGAAAGTCAATTCTGATTGTTTGAGGCATTGCCATGGAGAATGCAGCAGTTGTTAGGTCACGCAGGACATGTATGTAGCTGCACAATGGAAATGAAATTCACATTATTCATTTCTGTGGTATACAGACTGTCCCTTTGGCTTGACAGCAGTATCATGTCAATGGAAATACCACTCATTGTTACCGCATAGTAGCAGCATAAAGAAACAGTTGGAGGCACTGGACACTGCAAAGGATATGGGCCCTGATAACATTCCGGCAATAGTACTGAAGACCTGTATTCCAGAACTTGGCATAGCTTTGGCCAAGCTGTGCCAGAACAGTGACAACACTAGCATTTGCCAGAACATGTGGAAAACTGCCCAAAAATGTCTTCTATATAAACAGCAGGACTAATTCAATCTTGAGAAGCAGCAGTGTGCACCATCTACAAGATACACTGCAGAAATTTATCAAGCAACTTCCAAACCCACAACCACTTCCATCTGGAAGGACAAGGGCAGCCAATACATGGGAACACCACCACCTCCAAGTTCCCCTCCAAGCCATTCACCATCCTGACTTGGAAATATATCGCCATTTCTTCAATATCATTTGGTCAAAATCCTGAATTCCCCCTTTAAATGGTATTGTCGGCATACGTATAACACATGGACTGCAGCTCATCACCACCTTCTCAAGGGATGGTCAATAAATGCTGGCCGAGACAGTGACACCCACATCCCCTAAAGAACAGGAAAGAAAACCCCAGCTAGCTTCATTGTTGTTCAAATTATTTAGATATCGCAGCATTCCAGGGTAACTTAAGATCGATTCAGTACTTTTAGAGTACAACGATATCTTCGGCCCATTTGTCAGTATGTGCAATACATTGCGAGCAGCAATTTGACTGAAGTAGCCTTAATGCACCCTATTTCTGCACCAGGCTTGCATGTTAAGCAAGTGTGCCAGGACCTTTCTGAGATTGCCAAAAAGGCCAAAACTGTAGTGCATGGAACTGTAAGAACTGAAACATATATACTGACTAGTGAGAACAGTCTTGTGGTACAGAATGGTGAAGAACCTATGAATTTCTCATGTAGCAAGTAGAGTAAAGGGAGGTTGTCATGACTGCTCCACTTCAAAAGTGAACCTGTGTTTGAAATGAAGTGTATCAAGATGGATAAAGAAATTCTTACACAGAACAGATGGAAATGTAGAATCATGTTGGATGCATTTCAATTGACCTTAGCAAGCGTGGAATTGAGAGGGGTTTCCTTTCATGGTGCAATTCAGTAAGTGTTGCTGAAAGGAGCTTATTGGTGGCCATGATCCTCCTTTGCTATATTAGCTTTCATTGTTAAATAGCCAGATAATAGATAACCAGGTTTACTGTGGAGAATAGACATCAGGAGAGATAATGAAGGAGCGTGAGCAAGGAATTACACCTCACTAGAAGGTAAGGAGGCAGACAAAAACTGGGAGTAGGGGCATGAGGGCAATATATTTATAGCAACACTATAAAAGACGGAACAAATAGGCTGTGGATTGTGTAATAACAATTCTTATCCAATCCAAGCCAGAAATGCAAATAATGTTTAAATCAAATAAGTGCAATCAACTCTGTAAGCTCACCGTAGTTATATCTGCCAAGTAAAAACATTTTCTCTAGTTTGCAGTGTGTTAAGTGCATCAACTCACCTTAGCAAAGGTTTGACAAATAGAGCACCTAATCGCTTGTGGCATAATGGTAGAATTCCTACTTCTAAGGCCAGGAGGCCCGCATTCAAGTCCTACCTAATCCAGAGGTGTGCAATAACATCTCTGAACAGGTTGATGTTAAAAAATCTAAAAGATATCTAGCTTTACATCAATCAAACTTCTTGCAGAACTCAATCTGCAAAACCAATCTGGTGACAGAAAGTCAGCACTGCAACTGGCTAAATCAATAACCACACTA